CCAACATGAAGAGTTACCCTGGGCTCAGGTGGGGGTTCCTGGCCCCGACCTCCCTAATCGAGGTTAAGGATTTCAGCTTTTTCTTCCCTCTGTTTTTTCTTTCTCTTGGTACAGTCCTTTACCCAGTGTCCTTTTTCCTTGCAATAGGCACACTGGTCTTTCTCTAGTCGGACACGCCCTCGATCTCCCTTCTTCTCTACTCTGCCCTCATCTTCCTTTCTTACTACTGTGGCCAGGATTCTGCTTAATTCCTTATTTCGCTTTCGATCTCTCATTGCCTCTCTATCTTCTGCCTCTCTTTTTTGTCTTTCTTCTCTTTCTTCTGGTGTCTCTCTTTTGTTAAAAATTCTCTCTGCCTCCCTCAAGAGGTCTCTTAAGACCTTGCCCCTGCAAAATTCCATTCTCTGGAGCTTACTCCTAATATCAGGAGCTGATTGCCATATGAAAGACATGGAAACACTTACTTCCTGTTCGGGGCTGTCTGGATCAAAGGGAGTGTACCTCCGATATGCCTCTTTAAGTCTTTCTAGAAACACAGTGGGCGGCTCGTCGGTTCCCTGCATTACTGATCTTACCTTGGCCAAATTGGTGGGGCATCTCCCTGCCCCTTGGAGGCCCGCTACAAGCACCTGGCGATAAAGACGTACGTGCTCCCTACCTTCAGCCGTGTTGAAATCCCAAGCAGGTCTGGTAAGGGGAAAGGCAGCCTCGATCTCGTTTGGCAATTGGGTTGGTCTCCCGTCTGCCCCCGGGACATGCTTTCGGGCTTCTAGAATGACTCTCTGCTTTTCCTCCGTAGTTAGGAGGACTTGCAGGAGCTGTTGGCAATCGTCCCACGTGGGTTGGTGGGTAAGGAGGATAGATTCTATCAGGGCCGTTAGGGCCTGTGGGTCTTGGGAAAAGGACGGGTTATGAGTTTTCCAGTTATACAGGTCTGAAGCGGAGAAGGGCCAATACTGAAACTGGTTTCCTTCCCCTCCTGCGAGTCGGAGGGGCAGGACGTGTGAGGAATCTCCCTGTCCTCTTCTTTCTCTGAGTCGCCCCGCGATGGGGGAGGGAGCAACCTCCCGTCCTTCTGCTGGGGCTTCGTCTGGAACAGCTGCAGCGGCCTGCGGGGGAGGGGGGTAGGGAGGGGGATTCTCACTCAGCAGATCAGCGGGAACACTCTCATCAGGGGGAAGAACAGGCTTTTGTTTTACCACAACAGGACACAAAGAGGTGGTCGAAGGGTCCGGATTAGGGGCAGAAGGGAGGGGGGCTCTTCGTGTAGGACTGAGAAAAGGAGTCACCCACGGCGGTGGGTCAAGGGAGAGATTTTCCCAAGTGACTATATAGGCCACTTGGTCCGGATGTCCCGTTAGTCCAGGGGAGAAGATCTTAGCTTTAACCTGAAAAATAACATCAGAGTCAAAACTCCCATCTCGAGGCCAGCCAAAATTAAACGTTGGCCACTCGGAGGAACAAAAGGTTATCCATTGGTGCTTCTTGATCTCCACAGATTGATTGTGAGCTCGGCTCTTAACTTCTCTCCAGTGATCTAGAGTTAAACTCAGGGGGGTGGTTAGTAAATAACAACAATTACAAAAAAAAAAAAACCCCAGCTAGAACTGCTAAAATGGAAAAATTTGAAGCTAGTTGAGTAAGCATAGGCCCATTCCTTTTGCAGAAGGTCTGTGACCTTATGCTGCTCCAAGTTCCCAGAGCAAACAGTGCCCTGCAGTGATGTCTAACAAAGGTCAGGCCCTGGGCCAGCAGAATGTGATTCCCAGTCTTTCACTTGTTTGAACTGCTGAATCAGGAGGGAAGGTGAACCCAGGTCAGAGTCCAAAGCAGTTACAGGGCTGAATGATTTTTTTTTTTTCAATAAGTTCATGTGGGAGTTTGTGTATAAATGTTGAGGGGAGATGTCTGGCTCACTGTGAAGAGTTAGAAGTATGCAGTATTCCTAAGATTCCCGAAGAAAGCAGGGTTGGAAAAGACCATCAGTTGAGGGAGGCAGCTGCCTGGAATCTGGGGAGGAATGCTCCCCACCTGGGATCAGCCATATTAATTCAGAAGTTCCCTTTCCTGGCAGCCCAAGGCATAAACTTAAAGAGTGAAGGAGGGTGAGTCACCACAAAGCCAGAAGGGAACAGGTTGGAGTCTGGAAGGTTCTGGGGTCCTATTGTAAGAGTGAAACCACAGAGGACAAGTCAGCCTTCGGGTTGCAACAGCAAGAGGTTTATTTAGTACACAGGTACCTGTGGGCACAAAGTCTCCTCGGAGGACTTGTGCGCCTCAGGCCGGGTTTTTGGAACTTTTATAGAGCAGAAGCGGGATACAGAAGCAGAAGCGTGGTTATTGGCTAATTTAAACTATTACAAAATGCTACGGGGAAAGCGGGAAACTTACTTATCAGTAAGCCAGATGTCTCGGCCATAAAACTTACTTATTGGTAAGTTGGAATTCTTGACCAGTACGCGACCTGCCTGAGAGACTTCATGGCGCCTGACTTTTATTTTTTCAATAATGCTGGGGATGGAACCAGGGCCTTGTGTGGGTTATTCAAGAGCTCTACTACTGAGCCACAGCTCCAGCCCCTAATAAGCATTTGATTGTTTTTTGCTTTCTTTTATTATTTCTCCTTGATGACAGAGCCTAAGTTCTACACCGAGTCATGGCAGGTGGTAAATACTTATTAATCATTGATTTAAATTGAACTTCCACTTTCATATGCTACATGCACAAGGAAATGTTTGAAAGGGCTATTTGAAAGTTGCCTACCAGCGAGATAGCTCAGCAGGTAAATTTAGGCGCTTGGTATGCAAGCCTGGTGACCTGAATTAGATTCTCAGAACCCATGTAAATGTGAAAGAAGAGAACTGACCCCACAAAGTTGTCCTCTGACCTCCACACATGCACCACAGCATGCGAGGCCCCACCCCTCATCACACACACACACACACACACACAAATAATAAATAAAAATTTTAAAGTAGTCTATGATTGGGACATGAGGTGTAGCTCAGGGGCTGGGCACTTGCCTAGCACGCAGAATGCCATGCATGCCACCCTCAGCACTGAAAAGCAAAGAAAACCTGGCAGTTATTTAGGATTAAAATCCATTTTTACTCCTCTTACTGGTGACCGAATGTATCTTCACTCTTATCAAAACACATTTTGTGTGTGTGTGTGGGTGGGTGGGGGGGGGATTGAGAAAAGGACATGGGGAATTGCTGAGTAACCCAACCCTGCCTGAGAGAAAATTCTTTCTTTGTGCCGCCACTAGAGGAATGCAGGTTTCACATGAGGAACAGCTTTGCCCTTTGTGTATCAGGTGAGGCAGAAAGGAGAGGACTAAGATTCCAGAAAAGGAAGAATTAGAAGGGGCCAAGTGATTGAAATCAACAGAGGAAGTGGGCCTAGGAATTTGAGAAGGGAGAGGAAGGAAAGACAGAGAGGCTGTTAGACTGATAACATTTAAGAGAGGAGGGCTTCAAAACAACCTGCTGTGGGAGAGCCCAGTGATACCATCTGGATTCTTCCTGTGAGACTCCTAAAAAGGACTGACATCATCTCATCCTAGCCACAGCCATGGTATTTTATTGGTGGCACTTTTCATGAGTTATATGACTTTATGCCAGTGAGTCTGAAGGCTCTATTATTAAATTATTTGTGTTCCTCCTTTATAAAGGCAAAGAAAAGTGTTTTTGTTTTTTTTTTTTTAGTTAATGATGAATTTATTTTTAAGCTATCCTGATTAATATGAACTAATATGTGGGTATTTTGTAAAATGGAAATTTGCTGTCACCCTGCCAATAAGCAAGAGTATTTTCTGGGCTGTCTTGGTTCTTGATTCTGATAGGATGTTACCCACATGGAAGAAGCATCTCCCAGAATTAGAAGTGGGTTCCATATTGTGTTTGGTGCTGACATGATTTCCTGGTCTTGAGCCATTCATATCTGATAGAAACAACAGCTCCAGTAACAATGCCATATTCTCCTTGCAACAAGTTCCCTTTGTTCTGGAGTGTGTTATTATTGAATAAACGTTTAGTCATAGGTAAATGACCCTTCTGTCTTAATTGAAACCCAATCTGCCACAGTTAATATGTTTCACAAATCAATAAATCTTGGTGGGAATAAAAAAACCCAATGTGTTAAGGCAAAGAAAAAGAAATTGGTTTTAGCACATGTTTTCCTATACAAACAATTCTACTTTCAAGCAGAGATATTTCAAATTATTGTTATTATCATTATTATGTATAATCTCTCCTTTCTCACCAGTTTCTGTTTAGTTGCAGATTGTTCTGTTTACAGAAGAGTATTTGGAAGGAAATATGAGATGTGTATTCATTCTCTGGGCATGGAATTTGGTCTTGATTTGTGTTCTAGGAAAGGGAATGTATGTAAGAGAACCCCACTGAAAGGTCCTGTACCACATTGTGTTACTTTGGTAACCTTGGCAAGCACAGGTATCTCATTTAGCTCTCTGTTATTTGTGAATGCTCATTGTATCAGTTAGATGTTGCTGCATAACAAATCCCTCCACAGTTTACTAGCTTCAATCAACAATCACTTGTCAGTTTAATGAGGCAGACACATTCTGAGAAATGTCTTGTTTTCTTGTGTGGCCATCATTGGGCGGTATAATTATACAAGTTTCTCTGGGTGATGTGATCTTGTGGGACCACTATCATTTATGTGGCCTGTTGTTGACCTAGTCATCATTATATGAGGCCTAATTACATTACTTTTCATTATTTTGTGTTTCTTGGGAGATTTTTCTGCTGGTTTTGCTTGGGTTCACCATATGGCTGCATTTAGAAGGCTGGCCAGAGGGCTGGTTCATTTGCATTAAGAAGGATTACTGAGGTGTCTCTGTGTGCTGTGTGGTATTTCATCTTGGGCTTCTTCATATCATGGTGGTCTCTGGTTTCCAAGACAATGAAGGTAGACCTATAAGTCCCCTGGAACTGACACAATGTCATTTCTCCTGTGTTATCAGTTGGAACAAGTCTCAAGGCTAGCTCAGATTTGAGGAATGGGGAATTTGCTTCTTTTCAAAAAATTTTTATTATTTTTGTTTTATTTTATGTGTATGAGTGTTTTGCCTATATGTATATTAGTGCAACTGTGTCATGCAATGCCCACGGAGGTTAGAGTCAGGAATTAGATTCTCTTGGAACTGGAGTTACAGATGGTTGTTATCTGCCATGTGGTGATGGGAATTGAACCCAGGTCCTCTGCAAGAGCAGTCAGTACTCTAACCTCTGAGCCATCTCTCCAGCCCCCATGAAACATGGCCCAGTCCCTTGTTTCATCTACCACATAGCTAGTTGCCTAAGGGAGAGTTATTAGAATATATGTGACTGTGAGGGTACCTGAGCTTTGGGTCTTAGACAGCTGCCACCTCTGCCAGTTATCCTTAGAGTGGAGTGCATATGAGAGTAGCCAGGTATGTTTATATATGTGTACTGTTGTATACACATATGGCCTCAAGCCTCATTTCTTTACCTCTATTAAAATGGGCTCAGCAACCTTGCCTCTCAGACAGATTGTGAAGTTTAAATGAAATCAATCATGTATGGAAAACACTTTTGCACAGTATCTGATCCTTGGTAGGTAGTCAAATAACAAATTTAAAATTTTTATTTTTTGAGAAAGAGTTTCATTATGTAGCTCAGGTTGGCTTAGAGCTTAATGCTGCCTTTGAAGTCACAACAATCCTCCTGCCTCCTGCCTTAGCCTCTTGAGTTCTAATATTATAGATATGAGCCACCACACCTGGTCTTATTTTGCTTATTAAGTTTCTTCTTATTTATTTATTTATTTATTTATTTTAAAATCACATTTGTTTGAGAAAGAGAAACACAAACACACACACACACACACACACACGCACACACACACACACGGCACATGTGTGGAGGTCTGAGGACAATTTGCAAGAGTCTTTCTACCATGTGGGTTCCAAGGATGGAACTCAGGTTATTAGGTTTGACAGTAAGCAGCTTCACCCACTGAGCCATCTTGTCAACCACTTATTTGATTTGAGATACTGGTGATTGAACTCAGGGTCTCATGAATGCTAGCCATGTGCTCTACCACTCATTGAGTTATATTGCCAATTCGACTTCCCTTATTTAAAGTTCTTCACTCTGTGTGTTTGTTTTGTAAATAATCCATATTCCTTGCAGAAAATTGGAAAATATAGAAAAGCAAAAAGAGAAAAACTATTTCAAGTTATTCAATGTCTTTTTTTTTTTAGGTTTAGGTTTTTTATTTTATGTGTTTGTGTTATGTGCCTGTGTGTATGCATGGCCCAAGGAGGCCAGAGAAGGGAATCAGGTCCCAGGAACTGGAGTTACAGGTAGTTGTTAGGTGCCAATGTGGGTTCTGGAAACTGAACGCAGATCCCCTGCAAGAGCAACAAGTGCTTTGAACTGCTAAGCCATCTCTCCAGCCCCAATTTACTCAGTGCCTTATAATCGTGATTTAGCCACTATTACTCTCTTGGTAAAATCCACTCATAGTTTAGATTTCTTTTCTCCCATATGCACACATTAATAAGTTTGTAGGGGAGAGAATGAGAGGAGAGATAATGGTGTGTATTTTTAGT